GCAAAGTAACACAATTATAATGTAATATACAGAACAATAATAGATATTTGTTTTTTAGGATGCCCAAGATACACAAAAGAGCAGTTGGCTCACGACGTTATCATGACTACACAGAGGAGACACTAAATAAATGTCTCAGTGATGTTAAAAATAAGGTAATGACACAAAGAAATGCAGCAAGAGCATACAATATTCCTCGTCGTACAATAAATTATAAATTGAAAGAAGGACACACTAAATCAATTGGCCGACCAAATGCTTTTAGTGAAGCAGAGGAAAAAAGTTTTGTAGAGCACATTATAAAAATGAGTGAGTTTGGGTTTCCAGTGAACAAAACAGATTTAAGACAGATACTAAAATCTTACCTAGATAGAATAGGAAGAAAAATTAAAGTGTTTAAAAACAATTTTTATTATTTAAAATACTATTAAAATAAATGTATATTGTATTAAAAAATGATAGGTAAGTCAACCTATTTCATTTATATTAAGACTGTTAAATTAAAAAAAAATCTATACAAGCTGTGATAGAAACATGACATTTATGTTAATTAATAAAAAAAATGTTATGAAAATATRAATGTTTTGTTATTTAAATGATGCCTTGAGCGTTTTTTTTCTTAATTATGTTCATTTTGGTCTTTTACACAATATAAATTAGGAATTGTGTATCTAACATTGCACCAGTTTTGTTTATAACTAAATTTAGGTGAGTTTTTGATATTGGTGCAAAGTTACACAACACCACATATAACCTTGCACCAAATAAAAAAAAAATAAATAAAAACTAAATTTTTATGTTGATCAAATTTTATTTACACAGAATCATTCTTAGCATATATAACTACAGGACCGTGGAACAAGTAAAATTCTATCATAATTATTAAAGTGACAGTGTATGTTTTAAGTTGAGAAAACGAGATATTTGGTGCAAAGTATCCCCAAAACACGGTATACACACATTTTTCTGGTATCAGAACAATAATCAGTGGACACTGGACAGTGAACACCCAATGAGTAATTATCATTTCGCATTCGTCATTCTTGRCACGATCGTCTCCTGAACTTACAACAGTTACAACTATCGTTACTTTTTTTTTTATTGAAGGATACCTATTACCTAGTAATAAATTMTTTATTTATTTTGAACGATGTTAATAAAATAAATAATAAAATATGAAACGGTTTTTGGTGGCAATATCTTCTAAAAACAATGATATTTCAAAAAAAAACTAAAAATTATTTTGCCTCGGATTCTGATGACTCTCCACACGCATCTGAAGAAGCAACAGAACCTGATTGCTGTGATAGCATGCTATGCCATAGAACAAATAAATGTATCAAAAAGTTATTTATTCGATGGTAAATACTATAACATGGTATCGAATAAGAATGACGGATAAAAGTTATTTGCGAAATGTGTCCTGTGCACAAAAGTCATTCAAGGCTAGATTAATTCTACTGGAAATTCTTGAGTAAACCGTAATTGGCTTTAAAGTATGCTGTATAGAAAATAAGAAACTTGTAAGAAATACATTATACAYAATTAATTATTTTATGTTTTTATGATTATTAATTTGAGCAATAAAGGTTATATAACAATATAACTATATTTATATTTTTTTTATGCATCTTGTATTGTCTTGTTTATAGAGATCAAACATAGTTAAAATTGAATATATACAAATCTAGTGTAAAATTAAAAACTTAAATAAGATTCAAAAATAAAGATATTGGATAGCAAAATGTACCAATGTTTTTTTTTTATTCTAAACAAAAAAATAATTTTTAAATTATATTAGTTACACTACAATTAGGCGTTTGCCTTAAACAAATGCTATAAATGTTTTATATGTGATAAGTCTGTTAAATTTTACTAGACTTCTAGTACAATTTTAATTTTAAATCATTGTTATTTAAAAATTTATCTGCTTTTTATCTAGATAAATTTTGTTTATCTTTTATCTATTAAATAGATAATTTTGGATTTGTTCATTTTTATCTTTATCTGGATAGATTTGTAGATTTTTTATCTTTATCTTTATCTAGATAAAAGGGTATTTATCTGGGCTCAACACTGGTAATATGAGTATGTTAATATTTTTTACTAAAAAAAAGTACATATATTATGTTATAAGTAAAGTGCTTCATACAAACAATTAAGAAATATTACCATCTGTGTAGAYTGGAAACAGCAAACGTTTATAAGGCGAGGTTGCCTTTCCCAAAGGAGATCGTCTCAAATTGTTACATGAACCGTCAGCACTGCGATAAATAAAGTACTTCTGTATGCATAAAGTGTCGAAATAATCCTCTGGTGAACACATCTCGCTCAAAGTTGTCCTGGTTAGTTTCACATTAGATAAGTCTTTGGTACATTGTATATCACTTAACCCATGTCTGGAATAATTTTATTTAGGCTTATTATTAGAATTATATATACATATACATATTTRTTTATTTATTTGATATTTATTATATGCTTCTACTTCAGACAATATGTATTCTTTAAACTGCGTGTAACTTCAATAATAATTTCAGCATTCCGAGATGCTAAATGTCCATGTTTAGAAGGCTGTGAATCAATCAGTTGTCCATGAAACGGACTTCCAATTATTAAACCATTTATTTCCGATAACTTATCCTCCGAAGGATTCCGTTTATCAAATTTATTAACAATTTTTCGAATTTCTTCGTTCACCTCGGTAATTTTGAGATGTTGGTACCAGTTTGTTGAGTTTATATCCAAAGCTATGCAACATACACAGTTCACATAATTTAATTGTTGCAAACATATCTATGCTAAATCTTATTGTATTATTTACTTTGTTCACACAAATCAAGAATATGACGATCTGGAGCCATACAAGGATCTTCTAATCCTCTACAACATGATGGTAAGAATACCACCATGCAAATCAATAGTCGTATACTTAAATAGATACTCATTCTGCTAATTATAAGCTGTAATCATTAAAAAAAAAATGTATAATTAATAGCTATAACTGTTACTTCATTTAACATTTTTAAAGTTGTATTGTTGATTTCATTAAAATATACATAAGCAATTAAGTACGCCTCACAAATTAATCACCAAAATATCAGCAGATACAACTTGTTAAAATTTAACGCCATAAATTATATTTAGAATTAGAATTGCACTGAATACAGTTTTATTTGATTAAGTTATGTATAGTGATTTTCGACTAATTTAGATGTCAACTTAAAGATCCTGAGAAATATATTAATACATTATAAAATATGTACACCCAAAGAAAAACCATTAGTAATATTGATCATGCAAAATTGTTGACTGCTAACAAAGCAAACACTGTGAATTTGACAAAATCTTTTTTAAATTAACTTA